TACGTATGATCACTAAATCACTATTTTTATGTGCTGTGAAGGTGCCATTCACGGTAAAAGATGTTCTGTGCTGCCAACATTTTTTTTGTGTCCCGAAAAATAGATTTTCTGTGTGTGTTTTTCGAAACTCGTGGTTCAACTCGACGCCATTTTAGATACCGAACTGTGCGTAAATACATCAACGAGAGTTTCTCGTTTCGGTTCCTTTTTTGAGAATAATACAAATCCGGTGTAGATAATAATACCCAATACTGGTTGTTATGAAGATTAACAAATGAGTTGTGGGGTTAAGGTATATTTGGGTATCTGCTGTTTCGTTATATTCGGTGAAATATCTTTGTTTACATTTTTATTTTATTTTTATATTGTCAGACGAGAACGTGCAGCTGTTGAAGAACAGTTTTCGGAGGCCCAAGAGTTACTACAAGCAATTTGAAAAAAAAGTCCAGTGAATGTGATGACTTTTCACAATCGCATGTTACCATTGCTAATGATGCTACAATGCAACATGTAAGAATTAAATGTGGAAGTTATTATATTCTCAAAGTGCTGGAAATGCTATGTGTCTTAGTAAACAAACGGTTGATGAATTGAAAATGACTGGTGAGTTGAGTCGCACTTATTTTTATTTTATGTGAAATTGTTATTCACTGTAAAGTTTTCCAGAAATTGGTAATATGCTAGTAATTTAAAATTTATCTTACGAGTTATTTTTGTTTTGTTTTTCCCAGTGCATTCTTTTGTAGAAGTATCTAAATACCTACTAAACCATGGAGTGGATTTTATATTGAGTGAGAGGTTCCGTCAAGACCCACTACAAGCCCACTTCAGTAAGCATCGGCACAGAGGAGGAGGAGCAAATAACCACCCAACAGTTATGGCTTTTGGGTATCAAGAGAATGTCATCAGACTTCAAAAATCTTATCACATGCAGTGCATCACAGGCAATACAGGGAGACACAAGAGAAGGCCCTTACAGCATATAGTAGATGATACTCCTCCTCTTCTCTTCCCAAACAGAAGTGTTAGTATTTCTGTTTTTGAAAACAATGTAAAATAGTAAAAAAACAAGATATACTAATATATTGCTGTTTTTTGTATTTATTGTTAGATGTAAATAAGTTATAAATAAATACAAATTTTAATTAATTTTGCTTTTGTGCTTTCATTGCCATTTTCTTTAAGTTGTAGGGAATGTAATCAGCAAAATATCTGAGTGCCTGCTCTTCCTCAATACTTAGTTCACTTGTGCTTGCTGCTTCAACTGTTTCAGACTGGTAGTCCATGGTGTCCCTTCGGGTTCTTGCCAACACTGCAAAGTTAAAAATGCATGTTCTGAACAGTTGATCTATATCTGTGTCACTGGGCCGAAAATCCCATAAATACATTAATTATGTCATCTGTGGTTTTTCTGTCTACCCACATATTAAAAAAAGCATGCCAAACCATCTTGTGGTGTAAGGCTTTTGCAACAACAATTTGTTATACACTGCTGGGTCTGGTAAAACCTGAAACGGAAAAACTTAATTATTGCACATGGTAATTGCATTTTTTAAATTACTATATTTTTATTTTAGGATATTACAATGCTCTTCCTTCATGGATACTAGATGGCTAGTAATAATTCATATTCAGTACATTTGAGTTGAAAAAAATAATCAGGCCCACAAAAAAATTCTTTGAGCCTATCTTAAAAAAAATGATAACGTGGCTCTATGGAGATTAAACCTGTAATAAAAAAAATGTCTACCTGATCTGCTGTGTTCTTCACTGGACCTTCTTTTCACAGATTGAATATTGCCAGTTTGCTAGTGTTCAGGAACTGAAAACAATGTAATATAACCATGAAGTATACAGATTACCATAGATAGAAACTAAAACTTATAAATAAATATATTCATAATAAATCATTCATATTTTCATATTCGTCAAGACATCAGGATTTTCGGTCAACAATACTCATTCACACTTTCACAAGAGGCGACAAGTTGGTAGTGATGTCGACTTCATGTTATCGTGTCTGCCCAGTTTGATTCATACACGGCGAGTCTGCCGACCCAAATAAAAAGCAATAGGCTCTTTTTCGTATAATTATTGTACTCAAATTTATTGCCTCCTCCTTGCCCAAGATATTGTCACAGGAGCGCCGTGAAACGGAAGTACATGCAATCTCAGACTAATAATCGTTGGAGATGCAACCAGCTGCCTGATGCAACTGTGCTAAAAATATGAAAAAAAAATTCGAACAACATTTAGACCAAACATTTACTAATTCCCCTCGATCATACAGCAATAGTAACGGACATACCTTTGACGTTTGTATCATGAACATTTTTCATGTGCCCCTTGAAGCCACTTAAACTTTTGTACTGCTTGTCGCAAGTCGGGCAGACGTAGACGAAATTTCTCCGTTTAGCAGATTCGCGTACATGTACTTTCATATCGTCTGGAACATCGGCAGCATTAGAGGGGAAAAAGTCTTCCTGTCCCATCACAAAATCCCATTCGATATCTTCGTCCTCGAAGCCAACAAAATCATTTCCGTACTTCCACGACATGCTGCTCAAAAATCGACTTCCAATGTTTTGATTCTGGTTCTGAAAACTTCTGCGCAACCGCACAATTTTTTTTCGCAAAGCATGTCGGGTAAATCATTAATGGTAATGATATGCGGGTCAACTTGAAGATGACCCCTGACAAGTTGCGTCAACTGCGGATTACGTATAGGTGTCAATGGTTTATTTACCCGCTACGCGCAATAGGACAATAGGACAGCGGCCGTTTCGAGACCGGTGATAGAGGGACTGTGGTTAAGCCCTCTTTACACCTAACTTTATATTTTACTTTACTGTACATGTTTTTGATAGTTTTATACATTTTTCCAGTTATACCATATTTGATTAATTTTTTGAATAGACCATCATGCCAGACACTGTCAAAGGCCTTTCTAAGGTCAATAAAGCAGGCATATAATTTTTTTGATTTTTTAATATTTGTGTTATTTTGTTTATTGGCGCACTCTGACTTACCACTGTAGAGATATTTATTTACCAGGGTTTTTAGTATGAAAAGATTGTCTGTAGTTCGACAATCATGCATGAATCCGAACTGTCGACCGGAAAGAATGTTATTAGAGTCTAAAAATGATGTCAGCCTAATATTTAGAATACTATTGAATAACTTGCCAAGACAGCTAGAGATGGCAATTCCCCTGTAGTTGGCCGGGTTATTTTTCGACCCAGATTTGTGGATTGGTACCAACAGGCCAGTGCTCCAAGAATGTGGATAGTTATTTGAACTATAAACAATATTAAAGAGTTTATGTATTGCATCTAATAAGTGATGTTCACCGTATTTTAACTATTCATTGCAAATTCTATCTTCTGCCGATGCCTTGTTACTTTTAAGAAGTCTAATGGCTTTAGTTATTTCATTTTTTATGATTGGTCTGTCTAAATAGGGGTTGCTACTTGCACTCTTTTCACTATTCTCCAGTTCATTCGCAATCTCAGAGTTTGATGTACTGCTATCAGTATTAAGTAGGTTCTTAAAGTAAACCAACCAATCACCAGGTTGAACATTCCCATTATTATTACTGGGGTTCTCGCCATTCATATCACGATGAATCTTCCAAAATTTAGATGTGTCTGATTTAGAATTTTCCAATTCTTTGAGTTGTGCAATCATTTTCTGATTACTTTTATGTTTGATTAGTTTTTTATACTGTTTACGGGTTTGAAAGAATTTCCCTCGGATATATGGATCTTGAGGATACTTTTGTAATAAACGTGATAGGCTCCTTAACTTCTTACGAAGGGACCAACAATCCTGGTCAAACCAATTAGTGGTAGCGTCCCGTGATCCGATGTGGAACTGATGCCAGAATTGGTTCCAGTCACCGGGATAATTCGTCTTCGTTTTGCTGCCAAAAAGTGATGATTAGTGATGTCATGTGATGAGATTGATGGTTCCCTTTCACGACAGAGCCACCATGATTTTAAACGAATTTTTTTTTATTTTTCTGTAGTAAAAAAAAATATTCTCGACCGACTAAAGCTAATTTCTGTTCCAGGTAACCCGGTGAGGAAACGGTGAAAGCGAAAGAGATTACTGCTTCCGGGTTTACACGTAGTACAAGTAATTCCCCCCATTCACGCGTCATCTGGGGTCACCATACAAACCACTGCGATTTCCCTGTATCGAAGACGTTTATAACACCTGCGACCAAGAGATTTTTTTTTTTTTGACTGTGAAATAAACAATCGTATATTTTGATAGATATCGGAAAGGGCTGGATATTAATTGCGACAAGGGTGGCCAGATTCGAACGTCACCTCGGTTTCTCGGTTTAGTTTTATAAATTAATTTTTCTCTGATAGGTGTGTGTCCCTTGTTCCGTTAGACCGATTAAGGTTTTTTTTATGTTGCCAGAAAAAAGTGTAATATAAAGGCGCCGGTGTT